GCTAAAAAGGAATGCCAGAGGCTGGGTAACTTGTTAAAAAAAAAAAACATTTTTTTGGCTCATGGTTTCTGCAGGCCGTACAAACACGGCACTAGCATCTGCTTCTGGTCAGGTCTCAGGAAGCTTTCATTCATGGTGGATGAGAAGGAGAAGCAGATGTGTCACATGGCAAGAGAGGGAGCAAGAGAGAGAGGAGAGAGGTGCCAGACACATTATAACAACTAGCTGTCACGTGAACTAATACAGCAGGAACTCACTCATTACTGTGGGGAGGGAACCACGACATGCATGAGGGATACACCCCCATGACCCGAACACCTCCCACTAGGCCCACCTGCAACACTGGGGATTGCATTTTAACATGAGATTTGGTGGAGACAAATATTCAAATGACATCAACCCCACACCTAACCTATGGAGGCCAAACACAGGAGAGGTCAAGAATGTCCTCTTAGGGTAGCCCCTCTATCAGACTGAGGAGGCTACTCTACTTTCAGAAGAGGGGAAACCAAGCATCCTGGGGTGGTGACAAAAGGGAGAGGTCAGAGCTCTAATCTAGCTATGCAACCTCACATCTTTCTGGAGCGTCCCTCTCTACTGGCTGCCTTCAGGTTCTCTATCAATAAAACAATAGTAATAGCTACAGTGCAGGATTACGGGAAATCTAGCAAGGAGCCCAACATATGGTGGCTCCTTAACTTACGGATGATATGCTAAGCCTGATACAAATCGAGCATTCGCAATGTTGCTTTCATCTCTTGGACAGCCTCCTGCTCTTCAGAGCTCCTCTTCCTGCTAGCAGCTTCCTGCGGCCCCATCTTCTTTCCTTAGATGTTCATGAACCGAGGTGAAATAAACTCTAATAGCAACTAAATAAAAGCTCACATGCCCAGCTGTGGAAATAAGGGATGGAAGGCAATGGCAGGATGAAAGTGAGAGTACCCCAAACCCAAGGGGAGCCTCAGGGAGGATGAGGTACCACCCTCCTGACTTTCTCGCTGGAGCTCACTCTCATAAAGCCTTGCTTTCAGTGGTTAAATGAGGGCAGCTGGGACCACATGGATAGTGAGGGTCCTGGGACTTACTCTTCAGCATAAAATTGGCCCCCAGGAAATGTCCCGTGGGCTTCTGACATGGTCAAGCTCCTTCCTCATCTCTATTCCTAAACTCTTCCTCTATTCCTTCACCAGAAACCTGCCTTTTCTGGGACCTAGGGAATTAGCTATCCCAGCAAGGTGAACTTGACTCTCTGTGGGCTGCAGCCTAGCGTTTTTATTGTTACATGCATGGGTGGCTGAGTGACTATATGTGTCTCTGTGTACAACCCGCCAGTTCTATCTTCCTCCTCAGACAGATTTCTTTGCACCTCCTGCCTGCACCACTCCTACCTTGAACAACAACAACCAACAATTATATTGCATGATTCTAAGTGCCTTATCTGTTAGTTCATTCAATTTTCACAACCCCATAAGGTAGATAGTATTATTTAGCACCATTTGAGAGAGGAAGAAATCATGGCACAGAGGGGTTAAGTATCTTCCACACAATCAAACAGCCAATTTACAGCAGAGACAGGTTCAAGCCCCGCCAGTCTCACCTCAAAGTCTGTGCTTTTTACATCTAAGGTACATAGCACTCGGAAAGTAGAAAGCCTGTAACCCTCAGAGGTACAGCTTACCCCCAAAATTCTTGGCCCAACATGGGCAGACTGCTGAAATAGGACAGTTATAAGCAGTGAGGGTGGGAGTGACCCTTAAGGACACTCTGAAGCATAGCTTCAAAGAGACAGCCTGAACAGAGCAGCTCTGGGAAACAGCCACACAGACATGCCAGCCAGGCACATCAGCAAAGAGGCAGCCAACTTGGAGCTGGGCTGCCTCTTACCCTCACGGTCCACACGGTGACGAGCTTTGCAAATAGCGGCCAGAGCCACGGGACTAAAGAAAAATCCTCATGTGTGCACAGCTTGGAAAGGACACACACACAGAGAAAGAATAGTCATCCATAGGAGCACCATCTTTAAATAGAAAAGATAGCCTGAAATATACCCTGAGCTCGCGGGTGCTCACACACACAGACACACACGGCCAGGGCCAGAGGAGTGACTGAACAAATGCCTCAGCTGTGCTGGTGGCGAGGGGAGGAAATCTAGTGCCCTGGCAGCTCCTGACTTTCAGTTCCTATTTAAAATGTCTGAATTGGGAGCATTGACAAGCTCCCAAATTAGCTTTTTAAATAGAAGCTGAGAGTTAAAGGAAAAGCGGCCGTGTCATGGGGGAAAAGCAAGTGAAAATCCCGGCCAGGCCGGGACCAGAGGCAGAGGGGGAAGGCGAGGACAGGCAGTGCTGGGAAGATGCAGTAGAGGGCTGGGGACCGATGGGAAGGACAGCATCTCCTGGGTACTCCAGCTGCCCAAGTCAAGGGACCTCCTGTCTCCCCATCTCTTGCTCTCATTTTGCAGAACACCTGGTTGTAGGAAGGGCTGGTAAACAAAACCCTCAATGGCCTAGACTAGAAATCCCAGTCTTTCCTGTTTTCCCTAGATGGTTAAGACAGAAAGGAGAGAATAGTCTACAGCTACCGCGCTTAAGCAATGAGATACCAGCTTATGAGGAATGAGGGGGCAGGTGTCTGAACCAGTGTCTGGTCTTCAAACAGGGCTTACGAGGCTCAGGAGGCCACAACTGTCCCATTAGTTGACTGGGGGAAAATGATGTGCCCAACTGTCTCCTGAAGCCTCCAAACATTGAGGCAGATTTAACCCCTGAGCTGCCCCCAAGATGCTAAACAACAGTGAGAATGTACAGGAGTTCAAACCTGAGCAGAAATAAAACACGGGTTTCACTTCTTTGAATTGAACAAATTCAAAGGGATGGAGGACTGAAGGAAAGTGCCCCTGCCTCCTGAGTAGTGACCACCCAGGACCTGAGGCACTTTCTCCCAGGGATTAGAGAAGCTGAGGTGTGCAGTTGCCAGAAAATTAGCCCCTCCCCAGAGGGAAGGAAGGAGGGAGATGGGAGCAGGGCCAGGGCCTTCCCTGAATTCTTCCCCTGTCTGCCAGGGAGTGGCAGTGTTGTTAATCATTATTACTGTATGCAAATCCCACACAGCTCCGGGACTCCTGGCAAATGCTAATGGAGCCCACGCCCACCTTCTGAAGGGCCAATTGTGCACCTTTCAGACTGACAGACTGAAGGGGACTCCGGGGAAAGTGAGAGTGAGTGAATGAGGGACTAACCTGCCAGGGGCCCACAAAGGCCCAGACCACAATTACCAACTCCTACTCCTTCATCTGGAAGAGGGCTAGAGGTTCTCACAAGCCAGAAGCCCCGTTCCGTGCTCAGGGAGGTCCTTTTCCAGTCCTGGGTCTACAATTGTCCTAGGGTCTACAACACCCTCACAGTCTAGAACACCCCCGCGATCACAACACACTTCGCATTTCTCCGCCTCGGCACCCACCTCTCCACACCCAGAAATGTGATCCTCAAGCCAAGCGTACCCCGTCCCTGCTGGGGCACAGAGCTGCCTCGCTTCCCGAGCGCCAGGCCGAGATCCGGGATTCCGGGCACCGAGGCTGGAGACACCGTGAAAGCCGGAGCCGTGGGTCCGCCCAGCAGCTGGGACTGCGCCCTCTGCGCGCCGCCGCCCTGAGGGTGGGAATCTGGGCCGGACACCTGGCCCTGTGGGTACATGCTGACCTTCCCACTCCGCATCCTGGGTCCACGAGGCATGGAGCAGTGGGGACCCATGGGCGTCACGGACGGACTGAGGGGCTGGGCGGGCTCCAGTTGTAAGGGGTGAGAGTTCACACTCCCAAGTCCAGACTCTCGGTCTGGGTGGTGGGTAGACGTGGCGGGATAGGAGGGCGAATCTCGACCTTCCGATGGTGCCCTCGCCCTCCAAGAGGAGGGCGGCTCATACGTGGGGTTAGAGGCAGTGTGTCCCCCGGGGATCTCTTCAGCCTCAGCGCTCGGAGCTGAGAGCCAGGGGCCAGCAGGGAAGCTTGCGCGGTAGGGGGCCCACCTTGCCAGGTGGTCGGGCTTGGTCTCTAGCAAGTGCTGCTGCCCTGTGGACAGTCAGCGAGAAATAGACACCCAGCTAGGTGCACACACACCCCACGCGCGCACACGCCGGCGCTCCCTGCCACCTCTCCGCGGGTCCCCAGCCACACACTCCCCCGAACTCACGCCGTACTCCCCACTCCTCCCCCACCCCCAAACCCAGCTCACCTTGCCACGCTCACCCCCGTGCCCACCCTCGCCGGCACACGCGCTCACACCCGCGTCGGTACACTCCGCCACCTCCAGGCACACCCTAGGATTCCTCCACTCGCCGGGGAGACGCACCAGGCTCTGCCTCGTCTCCCCACCCCCCGCTCACGCGCGCGCCCCTCTCCACACACACACACACACACACACACACGCACTCACACTCATACACACCCTCGCGCGCGGAGTCACTCCCCCTCGCACGCCCTCGCCCTGGGCACCCTCCCGCGGCGAGACTCCGGGTCCTCCTCCTCTCTCCCTCCGCTGCCTGGCGGCTCGGCGCTCTCCGGCCGGGCCTGGGGCCGCTGGGCCCGCGGGGATCGGAAGGGAGCCGAGGGCGCAGCCTTGCCGCCTCCCCCGGACTCTCCTCTCCTCCCCGCCCCGCCCGCGCCGCGCCCCCACCGCCTCCCCCCTCGAGAGAGGGACCTCGGGAGAGGCAGCCCTTGGCCGGCCGGGCTCCGCTCCGCGCGGCGCCGGCAGCGGCGGGGGCAGGGAGCGAGCGAGGGAGCCCGCGAGCCCGCGATCGGAGCAGCGAGGCGCGGAGGGGACGCGCTGCCGAGCCGGGGCTGGAGCGGCAGCGGCGGCGGCGGCGGCAGTGGCGGCGGGGGAGGGAGGGCCCCACGGACGGACGGACGCACGAACCGACCAAGCGAGGGAGGCAGCGAGCGAGACTTCGCTGGCGAGGAGGAGCCGCGCGAGCGGCGGCTGCTGGGCGCTTCCCCGCGCTGCTGGGCGCTCGGCGCCTCCGCGGCCCCCGGCTCCCGGCCGCAGCTTCCTCGCGCGCGCGGGGCGCCGGGCGCGGGGCCCGGGCTGGCTTCGCGGAAGGTAAGAGGGACGCGACCGAGCCTTCTGGAGCCAGGAAGTGAGAGGAGCGCTGCTCCCACGCCTGTTGCTCCAGCTGCCCACGCGGCACCCTCCCACTCCCGCGCCCGGGTGGGTGGGCGCTGGGGCGCCGGAAGGATTGGGGGTGGGGCCCGTGCCGTGGGGGAGCAGGCAGCCGGCCCGGGGGCGTCGGTTCCCTCGGGCTGTGGAGCCACCTCCGGGCAACGAGGCGCTGGGGTTCGGGGGTGGGGTGTGAACCTCTGCCCTCTTTCCATTGGCCTGTCTTCCCTTGGCGAGTGCCAGAGACAGGTGGCGAAGGCTTGCTCCGTCCCCGCTCTTGGTGAGGGAAGAAGGAGAGAAATGGCTGAAAGTGGAAACCGGGAGCGTTTTGGGGCGCTTCGCAAAGTTCTCCAGCTGGGCGAGCCGGCGGTGTGTCTACCAGAGGCTGGGGGCCAGTCCATCTGGATCTGGTCCTGCTCGAAGCCGCTTCCACCCCGCGAGCTCTGGGAAAGATCTCTTCCTGACGCCAAGGGCCGTCGCGGCCTCGGGCAGGGGGATCGAAAGACTCACTTTGCGAGGTGTTTACACTGGAGGTGGGGGACGGGAAGGGACTGGGCAGAGAAGTTACCTGAACTCAACTAAATTCCTGCGCTTGCTTCGTGTTGACATTCGAATCCAGTCCAAGATGTTCTGCTTTTATCCCAGGCAGCTCTGATATGTCAGCAACAGGCTGAGGTTCCAGACCTGATATCGCACTGCAAGAAAAAGGGTCCGTGTATTTCTTAAGAGAGAGCTTCTAAACTTTCTCGGGGTCCTAGGCACAATGTGATCTGTTTGTAAGACCAGGCATGCGTTGCTGTATTTTGCATGGATGTACGTGATGGATAAATGTATGCCTTGTTTACTTTACTTCGAGGGAGCCTGTATGTTTACTGTCTGTAGACAGAGCTCCTGGGTGTGCACGAATTCAATGCAAAGCATGTATACATTTCCCCATGTGGACCTGTTGGCACGCAGGAAGGGAATTGATGTGTTTATTTTTTCCTTGTCTCTGCTTGAATGCAACACAATGCAAGGATACAAGGGACCCGCCTCCCTAGCCTTCCCCCCCTCGACCCCCCACCCCCCAGAGAAAGAGGTTAGTAGCTTATTCCCTTTTGCTCTTGAGGAGGCTGGAGAAAAGCAGTTCAGGAAGGTGCCCTGGCTAGCCTAGGAGTGGCACTGTTGGAGAAGAGGATCTGTGCGTGTGCCCCAAGCCTGTGCCCCAAGGATCCCCAGCTTGGTTCACCTTTCATGCCTGCCTACCAAAATCCTCTGAACATAGGAGAAGCCCTCTGGGTCATAGGCACTTTCCCCTGCCCCCACCAGCCCCATTCTAGGCTAAGGGATGTGATGTGAGATTGTGGAAAGTAAGTTTCCAGAGGCTCTCCACTGAGGTTATTGAAGGACAGACCTTGGTGTCACGACTTTTTTTTTTTTCCTGCCTAATGCCTTTGCTTAGCTAGGTGTCAAACCCCAGAACAGGCTGTCTGGTCATTCTGCCCACTTTTGGCCTTTTACCTCCAAAACAGAAACTGTTTAATGGAGTAGCTGACTTGTTAGAGCAGGGGAAAATGTTTCCCTTTGCCAGGATTTGTCACCTTTTTCATTTCAGAGCTTACCTGTTCTGAATGTCTCTTTTCCAGCCTCCCCCAACCCCCTATCTTTCCCACTGTCAAACTCTTCTGCCAAAAACAAAAATAGCTTCAGATTTTTCATTTGTAAGGCGTCCACGTCCTAGTAAAACCTTGGCATTTGAGGCATGTGCAGTGCCATTGGCTGGAAATGGGGCCGCACTGTTGTGCCTGTTGCAGGAATTCATACCCAGGCCAGCTCCGGAAGGTGTTGGCTCCTGTCAGGGGCTGAGCGCTGCTGTATGAGCCATGGCGAAGGCCTGTTTGAGTGGGTCATGCCTGCAGGGCTGTGGGGTGGGTACAGCCAGTATGGCCTTGGGTATCGCATCTGATTGGATACTTGTCCTCCCCTTCCACTCCCCTACCCCCACACACAGAGAAAGTAACAATGGGGTAATTGCTCCTTTTTTGGTATATTTCTACCAGGGGGACAGGGGCTGAGCCTCCGGAGACAGCCTGGGGCTTGCTTGGCCTTCTTTAGGAAGATTGCCCTGTATTCACGCATGGGGTAAAGGTCTGGCTTTGGGACCAGAAGCTTTTATGGTCCCAAGATAGGGAGGGGTTAATTTTTCCTTCTCCTGAGCTCTCAATTATTCATCTGAAAGCAGTTTGTAAAACACTTGTGGTCCTTGGAAGAGAGAAGATTGGCTTAGGGTAGAGAGGGGTAAGGTGACGGGACTCAGCTTGGCAGGGGCAGGTACCTGTCATTGAAGCTTGGGAATCGGGGTAGAGCAGGACTAGGAGAATGAAAGGGGAAGTACATCACCCTCTCAGGGGGCAGAGCTGTGTGTCTGACCACACAGGGTTCCACAGGGTGCCTCTGATTCTGTGGTCTCTTACTCTTTGCTTCTTGAATCCCTTCAAGATTCTGCCTCTCTGAGCTTCATTCTGGGATAAAACAAGATGTTAAGAGTCAAAGGTCCAGGGCTCAGAGTCTGGGAGCTTGGTCTCCTTTACTTTCTAGGAAGGTGGCCAGGGGTTCTGTGGGTGGACCAGGTCTTGGATTGCCCTGGGCTCCAAGTGACACAGGTTGTGTGCCCTGAGCTGAGCACCAGCATCAGCAGGAATTCCCAGAACTCCTTTGCTACACTGAGGCTCAGGCTAACTCCATCCTCACAGCAATAAGCCTAGATGCTCTAATTCCTTCTTTGCATGGGTGACTGTCATTAAGAGGTCCCAATGAGACCTAAGCTATAGACGTGATGTCCTGGATCCAGTGGAATCAGGGATCATTTGAGCCAATGGGTCTTTTGTCACATTCTTGTCCAATTCTTCTCATTTTACAGAGGAGGACTGTGAGCCCCAGAGGGTGACTGTTGCTTGCTTTCACAAGTTGAGGATGGGATTTAAACTGGAATTGCAAGGCCTCATGAGCCCTTGCTCATTGCTGCCTGGGGAAGACAGGGAAAGGAGTCTCTGCATCTTGCTATCTTCTGTCAGGAGCATCAGTATTGGGCAGCACCTAGATCAGGAAAGCTGTTTGGCAGTGAGGTGATCAATGCTCTATTTGAAACTCGTTAGCTCCTATATACACAGAACTCAGCCACTTTGAAGGAGGCTTCTGAGCTTCCTTCTCCTTACCTGCAACCTTTGGGCAGAAATGCCTATATCGTCAGATTTTAGTGGGAATAAATGAAATGCTGTGTGTAAAAGTGCCTCGGACAGTGTCCAGAGCATTGTCCATGCTCAATAAATGTTAACCAACTCTGCATTGGAATCACCTGTGAACAGAGTTGAACCCGCGGACTTTCTTCGCAAACACCCCTTGCCCCTTAGAGTTAAATCCTAGCTAAGTGCATGCTGAGGAACTACAAAGTCTCCTAATACTAAAGAAAGTATAGTTAGAAGGGTAAATTTCTTCTAGAAAGAAATACAATGCAGGATGTGTTCCTGACTCTTCTATCTCTTCTGCAGTGGCATGTGGATTACCCACTGCCATTTGTGAAACGACCTCCATGCTTTCCTCAGTTCCTCAGTTCCAGTAATCAGGAGCTCATCAGGCCTGTGCTGTTTTTCTGTTCTCTGAGTGTTGACACTTACGGGAAATGTCATTGTCATTCCTGTTATCTTCTGCAGCATCTGACTCAACCTCCCCTTATTAGGGAGCGAAGGGACCTGTGAAAATTCCCTTTAGCACGCAGATGGGGAAACTGAGGCAGAGATTGGCTCCTTTAGAAAACTCAACCGAGTCAGGGGCAGGTACTTAAATTGGATTCTTTTGATTCAGATCTGTCTTCAGATTTTACTGTCTGTTTGGAGAGAGAATGCCCACCCTTGGCAGTCCCTAAAATATATTAGCAAGGCATAAAATTGATGGGAAGCAAATGGCACCTGTAAAACCAGGGGCCCCACCCCAGCTCAAGCACCCACTGATGCAGTGCCCTGTGCTGCCTCCTGGGTTGTGATATAAAAGTCCTGGCCTTTGCGCTGAAAGAGCTTAGTGTCGGTTAAAGAAAGCCGGGGAGTGGTCTGGCTGTACTCTTGAACTCCACATTGCAACTGCCTGGGTTTAATGGCTCTGCCTACTTATTCCATCCTTTAGACAATTATTACAACTCCTATGCTTCATCTTTCTTTTGTAGGCAAAACATGGCCTACAGTGCTGTCTAGCCCGCAGGGTTGTTGGTGGGATCGCTTGAGATGCTCCATGTAAGTGTGTGGTACTGTGCCTGGCACACCGGCAGCACTCAGCACACTGCTTGAGGTGGATCCCTGCTCTGCCGCTTTGGGGTTGTCAGACTGCTACGTCTCAGTAAGCTTTAGCTTTCCTTATCTACGTAATGGGGGACACAATTGACTCTTCTTCCTAGGATTGCTGTGGGGATTAAATGAGGTAATCCATGGGAGACAGTTAGTGTAATGCCTTGCATAGAGTAAGTGCTCAATTATTGTTAGCCATTATTATTAATAAGATGTGTATAAAGTATGTGTAATGGTTGCAGGGTGATAGGTGCTAGGGAGGAGGGCAAACAACGAGTCTTTAGAAGTCAGAAGCCCAAAAGGGGAAGAGAATCTCATAGTGGGGAGAGAAGGAGGCATCACAGAGAGGGTGGTGAATAGGTATAATTCGAATAGGAGGGGTCCAGGGGAAGGATATGCTCATGAGAGGGAGGAGTGGTCCAGAGACAGACATCCCCAGGGTCTGTCCATGAACAAGTCTTGGTCTTATTCGAGGCTAGGATAGGTGCCTGGGCTGTTAGGCTGGATATGAAGCTAGGATCTATTTGTGAAAATGCTGGAATACGAAGCCAAGGAGTTTGGACTTTTTTTTTTTGCAGGTCGTGGGGTAAAATACAATCCGAATTAGGGGGATAACACTGAGCAGAATAGATTTCAGAGGAACAGGAGAAACCGGGTGTGGTGTGAGACTGAGAGACAAGCAGGCCAGCGGGAAGGAGGTCTCAGCGAAGCTGGGCCTTCATGACGGCGGTAAGAACTATTGCCTATTATTTGGCAACTCTTTAGAGAAATATGGTTGAGGTGACAGCCCTGCAGTTAGGGACACCATGAAGAAAAGGCAAAGAGCAGCTTTTTACAAGGAGGCAGGTTCTGTTTAAACCTGTCCACTTCAGAGGCATCCGAGCAGAAAAGTCCAGTGGCAGCTCAGGAGTTTGAGGGAGGTAGAGGTCCGAAAAACCTGGAAGAGCTGGGAGTCAGGAGAAGGTGAAGCAGGTTTGCAGGGAGAGGTGAAGATCAACTCCCATTACAAGTCTTCGTGTAACAGAAAAAAAAAAAATTCCAAGACTCACTCCTTCCTCATTTATTTAAACATAGAATCACAGCAGCTGAATTCCAGAGGGCCCAAATCATTCTGAGTTAGGATTTGTTCTGTGTGATCAGTTTAGGATTAGTGGAGATGAGTGTGTCAACCCCAAACAATTTCCCATTCTGTTACGTGTGTTTCTGTGTCACCACATGCCTTCCCACAGATGGTATACATTTGGGGACTGCAGAGTGATTTCACTATCATCTTTAAAAAGCCAGATTTGGGAAGGTAAATCTGCTTCCCAAAGCCAAATATAATTCTCCATGCTGTTGCTCCGTCCGTCCACACAGGTAATGGGGAAGTGCTTATGCAGTGTGGTTTAGAGAGGTAAAGGGACAAGGTGGCCTGGCTCTGGAAAAATCTCCGAGGGTGGAGTGGGGGCCAGGTGAGAGAGGCTGGCATGGGAAGGAGTGTTGTTATGTAACCTGAGGGAGCTATGGATGGTGGGCAGATGGAGACGGGAGGCAAGGAATCTAGGGATGGCAGTGAGCGTGGATCAGCTTCCTCTAGGGAGGGAGAGAGAGAACGCATGCAAGTCAGGTGAACCAGGAAGCCAAGACACCCTTCACAGCGTGGGGAAAGAGACCCTGCCTGGCTTCACCAGCTTTCCCCCGTCTTTCCATCATGGCTCTGAGGGGCGAAATTGGATACTAGGTTGCTAGGGCAAGGAGTCGGGGCTGAATGTCCTGCAGAGTAAGGACACTCAGGACTTTGCGACGGAGAGACTTCTCCATGGGGGTTGGGGACAGAACCTCAACAAACCCGGTGGTCACTTGCCATCTCAGAGAATTTTCTGGACTTGGGCAGCCCCAGCCTCCTCCTCACTAGGGAGAAGTGGAAAGAATTGTTTACTTGATCCCCCTCATCTACACCCCATTCCTGATTACCCCAGTGGGTGCAAGAGTGAAATAAAAATCAGCGTGTTTATCCCACTTTTAAATTCATTTAATGAGAACTCATTTGCCCTCTCCCAATTTAAATTGGTAACCTTTCAGAGCTGATTATTACTCACCTCTTGCTAGATCTTCCTGCTAAAGAGGCCTTCCCTCCAAATACTCCTGAGCCCTCTTGGAACTTGACGATTTGTCAGGCATTCAGCAACATCTGGCGATCCTACCCTGCTGAGCTCCAGGAGCTAGGTGTTCTCCCAAAGTCTGGATGGCAAAGAATCAAGCCCCCTCTCTGTGGTGGGGATTTCAGTTTTATTCATTTGCCCTGGAGACTTTTGCCGTTTCACTCACCAGTGATCCTTTCCTGTGTCCTATTTCTTACCTGCCGGTCGATAAGGACTCACCCCTTCTCTCTCCCCTCCTGTCCCCCAGAGTTTGCTGAACTAACTCCAAGCTGGTGTGCACGGTGTCCGCGCGGCTGCCGGCCCAAGAGCTGGAGTCACCATGGCGGCCGGAGTTGCGGCCTGGCTGCCCTTCGCCCGGGCTGCGGCCATCGGGTGGATGCCGGTGGCCAACTGCCCCATGCCCCTGGCCCCGGCCGACAAGAACAAGCGGCAGGATGAGCTGATCGTCCTCAACGTGAGTGGGCGGAGGTTCCAGACCTGGAGGACCACGCTGGAGCGCTACCCGGACACCCTGCTGGGCAGCACGGAGAAGGAGTTCTTCTTCAACGAGGACACCAAGGAGTACTTCTTCGACCGGGACCCCGAGGTGTTCCGCTGCGTGCTCAACTTCTACCGCACGGGGAAGCTGCACTACCCGCGCTACGAGTGCATCTCCGCCTACGACGACGAGCTGGCCTTCTACGGCATCCTGCCCGAGATCATCGGGGACTGCTGCTACGAGGAGTACAAGGACCGTAAGCGGGAGAACGCCGAGCGGCTCATGGACGACAACGACTCGGAGAACAACCAGGAGTCCATGCCCTCGCTCAGCTTCCGCCAGACCATGTGGCGCGCCTTCGAGAACCCCCACACCAGCACGCTGGCCCTGGTCTTCTACTACGTGACTGGCTTCTTCATCGCCGTCTCGGTCATCACCAACGTGGTGGAGACGGTGCCGTGCGGCACGGTCCCGGGCAGCAAGGAGCTGCCGTGCGGGGAGCGCTACTCGGTGGCCTTCTTCTGCCTGGACACGGCGTGCGTCATGATCTTCACCGTGGAGTACCTCCTGCGGCTCTTCGCGGCGCCCAGCCGCTACCGCTTCATCCGCAGCGTCATGAGCATCATCGACGTGGTGGCCATCATGCCCTACTACATCGGGCTGGTCATGACCAACAACGAGGACGTGTCCGGCGCCTTCGTCACGCTCCGGGTCTTCCGCGTCTTCAGGATCTTCAAGTTTTCCCGCCACTCCCAGGGCCTGCGGATCCTGGGCTACACCCTGAAGAGCTGTGCCTCCGAACTGGGCTTTCTCCTCTTCTCCCTCACCATGGCCATCATCATCTTTGCCACTGTGATGTTTTATGCCGAGAAGGGCTCCTCGGCCAGCAAGTTCACGAGCATCCCCGCCTCGTTTTGGTACACCATTGTCACCATGACCACACTGGGGTAAGTCAGCGCTGGTGGATGAAACCAGGACAGAGGTTGCAGGGCAGCCGGATGGCCCCTGAAGCCTTGGATGGTGCCACCTTGGGGTGAGGAGGAGCGAGCCCCTCACCCGAGCGGTGGGGGCAGGGGAGGTTGCTGTATCCGAAGGGGAAAGCCCGTGAGTGATCTGTTTGGAGGTGGTAGCTTGCTGGGAATTGAGTTTTCTTTTTCAGGTGGGGTCATGTGTTTTATAGAACTAAGAAAATTAAGTCACCAGTTCTTTTTTCAGCCATGCCTTGTGTGCAGGTGAAGCCTCGGGGTTAGGTGATGGCTGCATTCTTATATGCATCTGTGTGTATAGGGGCCGCTCAGCGAGAAGGTCAGGGCAGTGATTGGGGAGGAAGGAGACTGTGAGAAGTTGGGAGGATTCAGATGTCCATTACCAGAAGACACCAAGAGCACTCTTTTCGGATCCTTCCTGCATTTTTTCTTTGTAGTATATTTGCAGGCCATTTTCCCATTTGTCATACTTTTCTCCTGTGCTGCTACAGACACTCAAGCTTTCAGTAGCTCCAAGCAGACTTTCTCTAAGCGACTCTGAACTTGGCTTTTCGGCAAAGTGAGGCACCCGGTTTATTCTTTCTTTCTAAAGCCATATAGGTCTTGCTTTCTCAGTCTGAGTCAGTGATTGGATGACCCAAGTGACTGTGAGATGGTTTGGATGGATCATGTGGTCAGACACAGAAGCAGCAATATCATCATAAGGAGGGACAGGTGCTCAGCGAGGTCATAGCAATTCCATCTCTCCGAGGTCTCCTCTCCAGCTGAGGTCAGAGAAGCTTATTTTTGAGGCTGGTATGTGAAGCTTTCTATCAGAGGAAGGGGGCTCAGGAAGGAGATTACAATCTTCACCCTAACTGGATTAGAACCAATAAAGGCAATTTTACAGAGACATAGATTTCTTAGGGGGTTCTGCCTCAGCTATGAGAAGCCACAGAGCCTAATGCAAAATCCCTCCACAATTCATATACTGGGTCTATATTTGCTTAGGCGAGGAAGCGTTATATTGCTGATGGAGAATTCATGAAGCTTTTTATTTTGTCTTTGACAATTTGGTTGGTGGTGTCCTAGTGATTTGATTTTTTTTTTCCTGTCCAAAACCTGGAGGTGGTAGTGTCGGTTTTTCCATAGTGCTGTGTATGCTTATTGGGAATGACTGAGCAGGTGACAGGACCTTTTAAAATGATTACATTTGTCATTCTGCCACACACAAGAGGGAGGGAGTAGCAAGGGGAAGAACAAGGGTGTCACCATCCATTTGTGAAGGCAACATTTGATTGGGGCATTCCCTTTGCTTCTCGTCTGTCTGACACTGCCCCTTCCTCCCAACACACACACACACACACACACACACACACACACACAAACAAACACATACACTCACTCACTCTTTAAATGGCTGCTCACCCAGAGTGGGTAAGAATGTTTGGTCATTTAACCTTGTTTCTCTTGGCTCAGGTGGCAGATGTGAGCTTTCTGGTGCAGTGGGGTATTTTGGGGATAAAATGGGCTGGAGGGCTTGTGCTGTCAGGAGAAGTCATCATTGTCCCTTCTAGGCTGACCCTGGCCAAATTCCCTTCCTGAAGGGGACCTCACCTGTGACCAGACACTTTACTCCCACTTCTAGTCAAGCTCCTGATGTGGCTCTGACTGCCCAGTGCCCTCAGATGCCCCTTGATGAGACTCATGACACCAGAGAGATCCTTCAGGATAGCCCTGGAGAGAGGAAAACAGACATGCTGATAGCCTCCTGCTCATTACCTTTTATTAGTAGTATAACAGCATATGATTGTCTACTATATGCTGGCAGTGTGCTAAGAACTTTGCATATATTATCTCTTTAAGTTTTTACAATAGGCCTGCAAGGTTGGAAAAATCCTATACCCTATAAAGTTGTAGAAGGTGAGGCTCAGAGAGGTTATATACATTTCCATAGTCACATAGCTGATAAGGAGAGAACTAATTTTCAAATATCAGCCTGGCTGCTCCAATGCCCTTTCTCCTTTCACCCTGTTACTCAACTTATTCCCATGCCATCAGGGCCCCTAGGTAGAAATCAGACCTTCAGTGTTATTACTCTTTTAGTATGGCCTCAGGGTGTGATATCTATTCTAGTCATATTGCCAGTCAAGAAAGCATCAGCCTAATGAGTACTATATGCCAGGCACTGTACCAGACACAGAGATTTTAAAAAGAAAACATTTCCTTCTGAAGTGTTTAAATACTGCCTTAGTGCGGAGGGATAACATGGGGAGAAATGCCAGCTATAGGTGATGGGGGGATGGAGGCAGCAAACTACATTGCCATATATGTACCTATGCAACAATCCTGCATGTTCTTCACATGCACCCCAGAACCTAAAGTACAATAAAAAATATATATTTTTTTAAAAAAGAAATTAGTGTCTATTAATCTATGTTTTAATGCTGTAGGGAAACCACTGACTTCTTCTGTCATTCACCCTGTCGATTAAGGGGCAAGTCCAGCATCAAGGTGAACTATCTTGATCTCATTTTTACTTTCTTGGGAGGGAACTGGTAGATTCCGCTGGAGGGTGAAGGGAGGTGTGCCTGCATTAGGGAGAAGTATGCTTTCCCTGAACGCAGACCTGGTGGGCTTCTTCACCCCACACCTGACAATGAACGGGTTTCTTTTACCTTTCCCATGCTACTTTACCTTCTCCATTTAAATGTCTAGCTTCTGGGAGGAGAATCAAATGGGCAAGAAAGGAAACCTTTAGTAGCATCTTCCTTAAACTCAGATAAGTAATGAGAAAGCAACCTTTTCTTTCCCTCTCTCCGGCTGGTGTAGCTCATTGCTGGGTCAGCCTACTTTGACTTTGACCTGAGCTGGCAGTTGGCAACATTACCAGGCTTGTTGCTTGATTATACAGAGCAAGCACTTGGCAAATGCTTTTTAATGGATGAGCCAGTGTGAATGGTGTGCCTCTTCCATTTGCTTGACCTGATACTATTCTCAGTCCTTTCTAGACCTACTTGTCCTCTCTGGAGGGCAGATCTAAGGTTTGAGCCTCCTCGGCTGTGTGTATTCTGCCCCAGCCCAGGCCCCAGGGGCGAGGAGAGTGGCCTTTGCTTGGTGTCTGATCTATTCCCTGGGCTGCCCCGCAGTACTGTGGAGATCTTCTTGTCTTTACTGGAGGTCTTGCCGACTTGACCCTGGAAACCTTTCCCTCTTCCATGGCTAGTTTCTGTCCTGGCCACATTCAAGGTTAGTTGTAGCCTTGTTCAACCTTTCCAGAAAGCCCATCTTTTTCTTACTCTATGCTGGCGTTTGAGTCCCAAGTGGTCATGGAATACCAAAGACCAATATCCTGCCATGATTCAGTTGCTTCCAACAGCTCCCAGCAGACATCTACCTCTTCCTTTCTCCAGACCTTCCCTGGTTCTTCCCTGAGCTCCTATTTCCAGTCTGGAGCGGGACTGTCTCCAGCTCCTCTGCGGAGCAGGGCCGACTGATAGGCAGACAGCAGATACGGGGAGTGAAGGCATTTACTCTTCCTGCTCTGGTTACCCTCTCTGCCTGCTTTCCCAGCACCTCGTTGATGAGTTACTCAGGTGTCCTCCAGGGAGGGATCTCCTGGAACCAATTATTACCATTTAGTTAATATCTCAGAATACCTTAAGCACACAAGAACAGTAACAGCCCAGCTGCTGTCAGGGCTTGAGGATGGCTTTCCTTTGCAGCCTCCTGTGCTACTGGGGAAGACCCTTTATGCTCTACCCAGGTTTCCCTTGAGCCCCCTGACAGTTGAGTTCCCAAATGCACCATGCAAGGATTAATTTCCATCCTTATAATTGATGCTATAAATAAAATAAATCCCCAATTATCTCAGTTAACAGAGGGAAGAGATAACATAGAACTCCCAATATTAAATAAGACCAACCTAACTACTTTGAGAATTTACTCTATGACGTAAACTCTCTCAAAGCAGACTTCCCTTCTTAATTTTGTTTGACTTTGCTTGGCATCACGATTGGCCCAGACAGTCCACGGGGGAAGCTCAATAGGGTCTGGGAAAGCAGGGAGCATGTGGGAGGGAAGCCTTGCAAGCGAGCATCCACAAGGACCATGGGAGGCCGGCACCAGGCCTGGTTTTGATGAGGCTGCTCCTGAATATCTTAGGATAGGGTTCAGAGCAGTGTCCGGTCCTGATGAGATGGCCCACCGCTACTGGTTGGCTCAGTGATGTAATCGAGACTGGCAGCCTGTCTGTCACTCTGTGCTCTGAGGTGAGAGAGCATTTGACAGTGTCCAAAAATCACTTTAACGAAAACAGGATTGATTTTTACTTCTTCCAGGCAGGAAGCCGCCTCCAGGTGATTTGCATTTCACTTTAAAACATAATCCTGGAAGGCGCTTGCCTGAGGTTCCAAGAGGCGAGGAGACTAAGCCTGGGAATCGACACAGGCCCACCACAGAATGGGGAACTTGGTAAGCCTCCCCACGGCGCCAGAAGTAGAGCCAGTCTGAGACCTGTTTTTGTTAACCCTTCAACACCTGAAATTTTATCTGCACCTTTATCTACTACCTCCGGAGCCCATCAACCCTCCTCCCAATGCCCAAGCACCTTGGCCCTGGGATACTGGCTAAGAGTGCCCGCCTACTTGGGGGTGGGTCCCTGCCCAGGGGACTTTTATCTTTGGACACTTACTGGGAACAAATGACCTAAAAATATTTTCTTTGTTGACATTTCTTATCTGACAGTCCTCTGGCTCGGAAAGTCTCTTTTTTTTTTTTTTAATCATACTTTATGTTCTGGGACACATGTACAGAATACGCAGGTTTGTTACATAGGTATACACATACCATGGTGGTTTGCTGCACCGATTATGGCGCTGAAATTCTTAAGAGAGGGTGCAGAACTGGATCCCAACAAGGAATCGTTCATTCGTTCAACGTTTATTGAGTGCCTTCTACACTCCAGGCAGCATGGCAGGCTC